CATATGTTGGTCTGTAGGTAAATCAAAAGACAATGAGAAGCCTGGACTTAAGGCAATAGTAAACTTTTCAAACATTAGATTAAAACCAAAAATACTACAGGTTCAAGAAGAAACAACATGACTTCATACAGCAATGTCTTCTCTCCGAATGCATCTGCCAACTTCACACAGAGCTGTTGCTTTCCAAAGCACTACTTTAGCACAGCAGGGGACTAACAACACAATAGCAGTGGCAATATACAATTAAAATAGATTAAGAGAAAGTGGAAAATCATAGAGTAAGGGAAAACTATGAAGTCTGGAATCTCCCAGTGTTCCTGTTCCTAATTGGTCTATCAAGTGTACCACTTTTCAGGGTATACCATTTTACCTCACAAAAATTATGGTCTCATAACACGGAGTCACTTTTAGGCTATGTCTACACTGCAGAGTTCTTCTGGGATACAGAAGGTATCCCGGTCCGAAATTTTTTTTGGAAGAACAGATGTGCTTTTTCGGTATCCCTGTAAACCTTGTTTTGCAAGGAAGAAGGGATGTTCCAAAAAAGGGTTTATTTCTGACACTTGGCCCAGTGCAGATGGGCCAAATGTCAGAAAAGCCTCTTCTGGAAAAATAAGCAGAAAAATATGCAAATTGTGGTTCGCAATTTGCGTAGCTTTTTCCAGAAGAGCAGTGTAGTGTAGACAAAGCCTTAATGTTAGTCACTTTGAATGCCAAACACTAATATTAACAACATGGACCCAAACCTATTTCAGCTTTTTTCCATGAATTAATAACAGTTTACTTTCCCTATTTTTATTTAAGACTTTAAATTATGATGCAGTACTTTTTATTTTTAGTTTGGAAGAAGAAAAGGAGACTTCAATGTAATATCTTTCGGCAACAACATGCATTTACCTTCACACCCTTAAGTTTTTCCATTAGCAAATGTCTTTGTGGTGACACTGATTTTCTGAAACTGATCACTTTTGCCAAACAATAGAGGAAAAATAGCTAAAGAAGGCAACAAAGATGAACAGCTAGATACATAACTACTCCCTTCATCAAGCAATACAGTTATGTTTGCAAATAGGATTCATGATGAGAATCACTCACATGTATTCTTGACGAGCAGAGTGATATTTACCAGCTCTGCCTTCTTGGGGAATCAGGGCATAGTACTCATGAAACAATTCCCCACTCCCAATCTCTTTTTGAACGAAAGCCAATCAGAAGGATGACTTACAAAAAGCAATGAAAAGATAAGGGAAGATACACCTAAATGGATGATAGGATAAGGAAACACTCCTAGCTTCATTTGTATTGGAGATGGAACAGGGAGAGATCTCCATCGGCATACAGAATAGAGAACAGCAATTCCAAAGCAAGAACTGCACTGAACCCTGGGGCAAAGAAACCAGGAAAACATTGTCTCATGGGAAATATCTGTTCCAGGTGTTAATGAACCCTTACCTGCACACACCTAGATCAGTTAATTATCAGACCAATTTTAATAATCAATCCTCTACTGGTATCCAAAACAGTGAAACTGTCTAATTGCATTATGAGCTCTTCTGAAGGAACACTGCCGAGAGTCCTAATGTCTAGCCTAAACAAAACAACTTTGAAATATTCACTTGAACCATCAATTTACCCATAAACAAACCTACTGTTCCTTTTTGAACCACTGTTGTTCCCCCACAAATCTAAATTCTGCATCAGTTCCATTGGGACTTCATCTTCTCCTGACTGATCATGCCTGGAGCACTCTCTCGCAATCTCTAATACTCTGGACTGCAAGCTACCATCACCATCTGGGAACTCCAATCCATTCAAGATTCACAAAGCGGTAAGATAGCTCTCTCTCTCTCTCTCTCTTTCTCTAGCCTCTTGACTCTCCCTTATGTGATCATTTATGGTTTGCTAGCACTAACTTTTGTAACTATTTTGTTTGTCTGGCTTTCCTTGTATAGTTACTACCTGGAAATAAATAGCTTTCAGAGTTAAGCCAGATGCACCTCTCTCTGTTTCCCCATTCACTCTGCAACACTCCTTGGACTTAAGCTAAAGATCCTGTAGTGCCCAAAAATCCTGAGGGGTTGGATCATAAAGTGGGTACTAGCAGAACGGTTGTGGCGTAAAAGTGGGGATAGGGCGTAAGAGAATGGTATCTTAAAGTGCTGTTTAAACCCAGCCCACTGAGTCCAAGGGCACATGCAGGTCATATGTGCCCTTGGACTCAGTACAGCTCAGCCTATTGAGTCCAGGGACATATAAGGGATCTGGGAGTGCTAATTAACTCACCTCAGACATGCTCTGTCAGTGTGCGTGTGTGTGTGTTCATCTGAATCTAAGGGGGAAAGAACCCAGCACTGGGGAACCTAGATCCTGAAAAGTAATGGGAAATCTAATAATGAAAGCATTCCTGATTTGTCATTTTATAGGTTCATGTGTTAATTTAAGGGATTATAACCAGTGCTGTATGCAACAGATGAGAGCAGCCAAGGAGAGGAGCATTATGAACCCTTCCCTTTCATCAACTCTCAGGAGAAGGGGCAGAAGTAAATAGGGAGGTTGAGTTGATGGGGTTGGGGAGGGGCAGCAATGAAGAAGGGGAAAAAGCTGGGCAGAGAGCAAAGGCTAAGAGGCTGGTTAATGGAAAAAAGGTCGGGGAGTGAGAGTGAAAAGGGGCTAGAGTGATAGTGGAATAGATGTGAGAGAGAAGGGTGACAGGAGGCCGGGGATAGGAAGGGGAGTATGGAGAGGCTGTGGGTGAGTGGAAATAAGGGAAAGGTGATGGCAGAGGCTCAGGACAATGAGGATAGGCAGACAGGACAGGAGAATCTAGGGAGATGAGGGAAAATGGGGAATCTGGGAAGATAGGAAAAGTCGGAGGGAATGGGGAGGGATGTGGAATCTGGGGATATGAGAAGCAAGGGGAAGGGAAGACTGGGAATGTGTAGCAGCTGCGGAAATGGGGAGTCTGTAAGGAGCAGGAAATGGGGAGTTGGAGAGGGGTTGAGGAGGCTGTGGCTGAGAGAGGATTAGAAGGGGAAGCTGAGAGAAATAGTGAATGGGCAGGTCTGAGGACAAGAGGGATGTGGAATGGAGGGAGAGATGTCTGGGGAGATGGAGCAGCAATAATTATAGCGGGGGGGTCACTTTAAGATTTGGTGAGTGGTCACGGTCTGCACTTATATTAACAAAGGAGGTGTGGGGTTGGGATGGAGTTTGGGTGCAGGAGGAAGATCCAGGAAGGGGGTTAGGATGCAGGAGTGGGGGCAGAGTCTGAGAGGAAGTTTGGGTGCAGAACAAGATTGTGATCTGGTGCAAGGTGTTGGAATACAGGAGGGAGTGTAGGGTCTGAGGAGTTTGGGTGCAGGAGAGGGTTGTGACCTGGGATAGGGAGCTGGAGTGCAGGAGGGGGTATAGGGTCTTCAAGGGAGTTTGGGTGCAGAAGGGAGTTGTGACCCGGGGCAGGGAGTTGGGGTGCAGGAAGGGCTGCCAGTTGCAGTCTCTGGCCAGGAGATGCTTATTGTAGGTGACTCCCAGCCAGTGACACAGCAAGGCACTCACCCAGGCTGCCTGCATGCCAGTTGCTGGGACAAGTGTGTCTCTGCATGTGAGCCCCTTGGGAAGAAGCAAGTAGTGGATCTTCGCACACCTATAATCACCATCCCTGTAGCTCCTATTGGCTGGTTTCTGGCCAATGGAAGTTGTAAGGATAGTGTTGGGAGCAGGGTGCCTCCTCCCCAGGGACACACCGAGACACACTAGCCTAGCAACTGGCCATTTTGAGAAGTGTGTGGGGCTGCGGTAGGCAAGCAAGCATCCTGCCTGAGTGCCGTGCTGGCCTGTGGGACATTAGCCTCACACAGGGTCATGGCAGGCTGGTTCCAAATGTTTGGCGAGTCACATGTGGCCTGCAGGCCATATTTTCCCAATCCCTAAAGCAGTATCTCTAGGGAAAGGAGAGTGGACTGGGGATGGGTACTGGCAGGGAAAAGGGATGAGGCTGGGGATGAACGGGGTGGGAAGCCTGAGGATGACGGGAACTGGGAAGGGAAGGCTGGAGATGGGTAGAGGCTGGGGATTAAGGGGTGGAGGAAACTGGAAAAGGGGAGAGGCTGGGAAAGGGTACATGGAGAGTTTGAGGATGTGTCATGGCTAGGGATGAAGGGAGCTGAGAAGGAGATGGAGGAACCTGGGGATGTGGAGTGGCTGGGGATGGGAGGGGAGCTGGAGATGTGAAATGGCTGTGGATGGGCAAGAGATGTGAAGGAGCTGGGGGAGTGTCATGACCTGGGATGAGGGAACCTGGGAACGTGTGGTGGCTGAGGACAGGGGAGAGGGGCTGGAAAGGAGGGGGAGCCTGGGGATGTGAAGTGGCTGTGGATGGGGTCAAGGGGAGACTCTGGGGAAGCGAGAGTCAGAGAGAGGAGGGCACCTGGGGGTGGGAGAAGAGGGGGAGAGCGCCTGAGGGTGTGAAGGGGTCGGGGTGAGGAGCCTGGGAACGTGAGGGGGCTGCGGAGGTAGACAGGCGTGGCTGGGGAGGGGAGGGCAGCCTGGGGACACAAGGGGTTGGGGTGAGGAGCCGGGTGGCTGGGAAAGGGCTGTGGACGGAGAGGCAGGGGGTGGCTGGCTAGGGGATGGAGGCGGGGTTGAATAGAGGCTGCGGCTGGGGGGAGGCGGCCGGGCAGGTCCCGCGGGCAGGCGGCGCAGGGGGACACTCACTCCGCACCATGGCCGCGGCCCGACTCTCGAGGCGGCTTCACGGCCCCTGCTCGGCTCCCGCGCCGCCGCCATTACCGGACGCCACCCGGCGCAGCCATGGCAACCGGTCTGGGCGGGCCTGGGAGCGGGGCCGCTCTGCTCGGCTTGGCTGCGGGCAGGCCTGAGGGGATTGGACACTCCCCCCGGGGCAGCGCCGCGGCGCGAACCTCTCCCCCGAGGAGCGAGGCGGTGCCGGCGAATAGCGCTGGGGGCGTTTTACAAGTATCGCAATTCAGGCCCTTTTCAGCCTGGGCCCGTCAGCCTGCCACCCTAACAGCGCCCGCACGAGAGCCAGGTGCCGGCCGCGACCCTGCTGCCCACCCGCGGCTTCTCACCTCGCCTCATTACACGCCTGCCTGGCTGCCTCGCATAGGTAGGTTCCAACTCCTCCAGGTGCTAGTAGGGGTAGGACCGCCCCCGCCCCCAGTAAACTCCTCAGGGCACCAGGTTTCAGGGTGGCTAAGTCTAGACTGGCACGATTTTCCGCAAATGCTTTTAACGGCAAAGTTTTTCCGTTAAAAGCATTTGCAGAAAAGCCCGTCTAGATTGGCACGGATGCTTTTCCGCAAAAGCACTTTTTGCGGAAAAGTGTCCGGGCCAATCTAGACGCGGTTTTGCGTAAGAAAGCCCCGATTTTCGCCATCCGGGCTTTTTGGCGCAAAACAGTTTTCAGCTGTCTACACTGGCCCTTTTGCACAAAAGCATTTCCGGAAAAGGGCTTTTGCCCGAACGGGAGCGTCAAAGCATTTGCGCAAGAAGCAGTGATTTCGGTCAGTGGAACGTCAGTGCTTTTGCGCGAAATCAAGCAGCTAGTGTAGACAGCTGGCAAGTTTTTGCGTAAAGCAGCCGCTTTTGGGGAAAAACTTGCCAATCTAGACACAGCCGGTACATCTACACATCAGCTTATTTCGGCATAACTGACGCGATCTCAAAATAGCAAAAAAGCCCATCCAAACTGCAAACAGTTATTTCAAAATAATTTTGAGACGGAGGACTTCTTACTCCGACTCCCGTAACCCTCATTTCAGGAGGAGTAAAGGAAGTCAGAGGAAGCATGTTCTTCCTTCTACTTCCTGCTGTGTAGATAGCACCAAAAGCTGAATTAAACTATTTTGACTTCAGCTATGTATAGCTGAAGTTGCATAGCTTACTTCAAATTTTGCCCTGCAGTGTAGACTGCTCTCAGTGCCCCCAGTCCACCTATCCTTGGCTGTTGGGTCCCTGCTCGCTCTGGAAAGTCTCCAGTTCAGGCAACTGAATTTTTATGTTTATATTTTCTTTCTATAATCAGTAATGGAAGTATTTTAAAATCCTGGCTGTGCACTGCACTTGCCCTCCAGAAATGAAATTAATGGGTAGCAGGTTTAGAACTAATAAAAGAAAGTTCTTCTTCACACAGCGTGTAGTCAACCTGTAGAAGTCATTGCCAGAGGAGGCTGTGAAGGTTAGGACTATAACAGAGTTTAAAGAGAAGCTAAATAATTTCATGAAGGTTAGGTCCATAAAAGGCTATTAGCCAGGGGATAGAAATGGTGTCCCTGGCCTATTTGTCAGAGGCTGGAGAAGGATGGCAGGAGACGATTCGCTGATCATTGTCTTCAGTCCACGCTCTCTGGGGCACCTGGTGCTGGCCACTGTCAGCAGACAGGCTACTGGGCTAGATGGACCTTTGGTCTGACCCAGTACGGCTGTTCTTATGTTCTTATGATTGTCAAACATCATGCATTACCAAATGATCACTCCATATCTGACTTCTGAGTTCTCCTGCTCAGAGGACACATACACATCACCTTCAAAAGAAGAGCTTAGGAGCTCAAATTCATAGCTTTGCTAGAAGCTAAAAATCATGGAATCAATAGGAAGGCTGTTTTTATGACTATAACAATCTGTAATCCAGAGGAGCTCTCTGTAGCTTGAAAGTTGCTCTCTGTCTCTTCCAAAAATTGAAGTTAGTCTAATAAAAGATATTATCTCAGCTACCTTTGCTGTCATGCATCTTAAGTGGCAGGCTTTTAGCTGCCATATCAGGCTGTCACATCTCAGGAAAAATGTCATTCATTGAAGACAAACTAATCCTAATCCCTTTCGTCTAAAGGAAGAGGCTGTGAGATAGGGCCCAGGAGACTGTAAATTCAAGTTTCTTCTCATTGGTGTTTATTTTTCTATGCGGGTGACAACATTTACTGTCAAGCAGGGCCTCACCCCACTACCCAGAAGATAAGACACTATCATTCCACAATTTTGGAACAATAGGAAGTAGAAGATTGCATTAGGTCACTTTTAGAACTACTGGATCTAAGATGACAATGTCAAAAATTATCTCTTTAGCCACATAACCATTAAGAAGTGCCTAATTCTATGGTAAATGTAACCCTCGCCACAATGTAACCCAAGTGTCTTGCTAGGGTTATCTCAATGTTAGGCAAGGATTCTGTGTAGCCTATAAGCCTCCACTCAGAAGCAGGTAGAATGGGAAACGGTCCCTCTTTAGAGACTAGTGACAGCTAAAGAAGAGAGACATGGCTGGGCACTTCTTGAATGGATCACAAGTACCTTAAAACCATGACATCCACTATTCTACCCACTAAACCACAGTCAGCTTCTAGAACCAAGAATCCTGATATGCAACATTGTGCTGTGACCCATTGACAAAGTGGGTCATATGTCCCCTTTCAGAAATTGGTCCCACACAAAATGAAATCCTAATTCTGTAATCACCCTACTAAAAGTCTATACTATAGAATCATAGGACTGGAAGGGACCTCGAGAGGTCATCGAGTCCAGCCCCCAGCCCTCAAGGCAGGACCAAGCTCCGTCTACACCATCCCTGACAGATGTCTATCTAACCTGTTCTTAAATATCTCCAGAGAGGGAGATTCCACCACCTCCCTTGGCAATTTATTCCAATATTTGACCACCCTGACAGTTAGGAATTTTTTCCTAATGTCCAATCTAAACCTCCCCTGCTGCACTTTAAGCCCATTACTCCTTGTCCTGTCCTCAGAAACCAAGAGGAACAAATTTTCTCCTTCCTCCTTGTGACACCCTTTTAGATATTTGAAAACCGCTATCATGTCCCCCCTTAATCTTCTTTTTTCCAAACTAAACAAGCCCAGTTCATGAAGCCTGGCTTCATAGGTCATGTTCTCTAAACCTTTAATCATTCTTGTTGCTCTTCTCTGTACCCTTTCCAATTTCTCCACATCTTTCTTGAAATGTGGCGCCCAGAACTGGACACAGTACTCCAGCTGAGGCCTAACTAGTGCAGAGTAGAGCGGCAGAATGACTTCACGAGTTTTGCTTACAACACACCTGTTGATACAACCTAGAATCATATTTGCTTTTTTTGCAACAGCATCACACTGTTGACTCATATTCAACTTGTGGTCCACTATGACCCCTAGATCCCTTTCTGCCATGCTCCTTCCTAGACAGTCGCTTCCCATCTTGTATGTATGGAACTGATTGTTCCTTCCTAAGTGGAGCACTTTGCATTTCTCTTTATTAAACCTCATCCTGTTTACCTCTGACCATTTCTCTAACTTGCTAAGGTCATTTTGAATTATGTCCCTATCCTCCAAAGAAGTTGCAACCCCACCCAGTTTGGTATCATCTGCAAACTTAATAAGCGTACTCTCTATCCCAATATCTACATCATTGATGAAGATGTTGAACAGTATGGGTCCCAAAACAGACCCTTGAGGAACTCCACTTGTTATCCCTTTCCAGCAGGATTTAGAACCGTTAACAACAACTCTCTGACTACGGTTATCCAGCCAATTATGCACCCACCTTATCGTGGCCCTATCTAAGTTATATTTGCCTAGTTTATCAATAAGAATATCATGCGAGACCGTATCAAATGCCTTACTAAAGTCTAGGTATATGACATCCACCGCTTCTCCCTTATCCACAAGGCTCGTTATCTTATCAAAGAAAGCTATCAGATTAGTTTGGCATGACTTGTTCTTCACAAACCCATGCTGGCTATTCCCTATCACTTTATTACCTTCCAAGTGTTTGCATATGATTTCCTTAATTACCTGCTCCATTATCTTCCCTGGGACAGACGTTAAACTGACCGGTCTGTAGTTTCCTGGGTTGTTCTTATTCCCCTTTTTATAGATGGGCACAATATTTGCCCTTTTCCAGTCTTCTGGAATCTCCCCTGTCTGCCATGATTTTTCAAAGATCATAGCTAAAGGCTCAGATACCTCCTCTATCAGCTCCTTGAGTATCCTGGGATGCATTTCATCAGGACCTGGTGACTTGCTGACATCTAACTTTCCTAAGTGATTTTTAACTTGTTCTTTGTGTATCCTATCTTCTAAACTTACCCTCTCTCTGCTTGTATTCACTACGTTAGGCACACCTCCAGACTTCTCGGTGAAGACCGAAACAAAGAAGTCATTGAGCATCTCCGCCATTTCCAAGTTCCCTGTTACTGCTTCTCCCTCCTCGCTAAGCAGTGGGCCTACCCTGTCCTTGGTCTTCCTCTTGCTTTTAATGTATTTATAAAAGGTCTTCTTGTTTCCCTTTATGCCTGTAGCTAGTTTGATCTCATTTTGTGCCTTTGCCTTTCTAATCTTGCCCCTGCATTCCCGTGTTGCTTGCCTATATTCATCCTTTGTTAGTTGTCCTAGTTTCCATTTTTTATATGACTCCTTTTTTATTTTGAGATCGTGCAAGATCTCCTTGTTAAGCCAAGCTGGTCTTTTGCCATATTTTCTATCTTTCCTACACAGCGGAATTGTTTGCTTTTGGGCCCTTAACAACGTCCCTTTGAAATACTTCCAACTCTCCTCAGTTGTTTTTCCCTTCAGTCTTGCTTCCCATGGGACCTTACCTACAAGTTCTCTGAGCTTATCAAAATCTGCCTTCCTGAAATCCATTACCTCAATTGTGCTGGTCTCCCTTCTACCTTTCCTTAAGATCATGAACTCTATTATTTCGTGATCACTGTCCCCTATACTGTCTTCCACTTTCAAGTTCTCAACTAGTTCCTCCCTATTTGTTAAAACCAAATCCAGAACAGCTTCTCCTCTGGTAGCTTTTTCAACCTTCTGAAACAGAAAGTTGTCTCCAATGCAGTCCAGAAACTTATTGGATAGCCTGTGCCTCGCTGTGTTAGTTTCCCAACATATGTCTGGATAGTTGAAGTCCCCCATCACCACCAAATCTTGGGCTTTGGATAGTTTTGTTAATTGTTTAAAAAAGGCCTCATCCACCTCTTCCACCTGGCTAGGTGGCCTGTAGTAGACTCCTAGCATGATATCACCCTCGTTTTTTACCCCTTTTAGCTTAACCCAGAGACTCTCTACACAGCTATCTCCTACGTTCATCTCCACTTCAGTCCAAGTGTGTACATTTTTAATATACAAGGCAACCCCTCCTCCCTTTTTTCCCTGTCTGTCCTTCCTGAGCAAGCCGTACCCTTCCATACCAACATTCCAATCATGTGTCCCATCCCACCAGGTTTCTGTAATACCAATGATATCATAGTTGTATTTATTGGTTAGCAATTCCAGTTCTTCCTGCTTATTACCCATACTTCTCGCATTTGTATATAGGCATCTAAGATACTGATTTGATCTTGCCTCCCTGTTGTGCCCTGACCCTCCTTTCTCCTTGCCATTATAGGCCGTAGTCCCCCCCCATTTCCAACCCATCTCCCAGTCCCGCACATTCAGCACTTACCTATATAACTATAGGGCAGCTCAGATATTTTGAGGCTGCTGGAATAATTGTATTGATTTTAAATTGCAAAATCTTGTGTTCAGCAGTGGATTTGGATATTCCATTAATATTTATTTTATTGGTTTATCATTTCTGTTTGTGTTTTGATTAATGGAAACTTCATTTTTAAGAATATGGTGGAGCAATTGATTGAAGAGTTTGTTTACATAGTACTGAAAACAGTGGTTGGAGATTTAGTTTGTGTTTACAGAGAGTGGAAAACACTACCTGTGCGATTTCCAGAAATTTGAGAAGTTGATTTAGTAAGTGTATCTTTCAAGAAAATAAGAATAATTTTTGAAGCACATATTAGCACTTACTGGGGAACTGATATCTCAAGATATTACTGAAAATCTACAGAGCCTTTCACCAGTTTGAATCTAGTCCAAATTTCTAGGAGTATATCTACACTGCAGAGTTTTTCCAGAAAATGGCCATTTTCCAGAAAAAACTATTTATGTCCACACTGCTATTGCATTCTTTTGACAGAAAATCAGAAGAACAGAGGGGTTTTTCTGATGGCAGTAAACCTCATTCTATGAGGAAAAGGTTTTTTCCGAAAAAGCTTTTTTGGAAAAAGGTGTGTTGGACACGAAAGAGGGAGTTTTTTCGAAAGAAGAGGCCTCCAGGAAACAACACAGATGCTCTGGTGGCCACTCCATCCACAGTAATCACAACTTAAATGTGAGATTGCGTCCAATCAGTGTGGACGCTGTCTTTCGAAAAAGCACATCACTTTTTCGTTGCGCTTTTGCTGTATAGATGCTCTCTTTCAACAGAAGTTTTTCCCTAAGATCTCTTCCAGAAAAGCTTTTTCTAAAAGAAGTCTGCAGTCTAGACATAGCCTAGATAATAAAAATTGTTTCCCGCTAATGGATGACTCCTAAATAAGATATGTTTATGGGTCTCATTTTTAGCTCCAATTCTGTACTTGAGCTGCACTTGTAACCATAGTATCCGACTATCTACATTGCAAAATAATCAACAAGTTTTATATTTTTGGCAATTTCACTGCAGAAGCCAAGATCTTTATCAGCTGTAGAGACTGAACTGCCCACTTCCTAAAGCCTTGTTTCTTGGACATGCTGATAGATCAGTGTACCTGGGAAACCTACCCTACTGCTGCCTTGTAAACTGAGGATTTCTGAATGGCCATATCAACACCTTCCATTAGCACTAAATCCACATGGCTTTTGTAAATTGCAGTAAAATTATAGGCAAGTTATTTGCAGATATGAAAATTCACTCACTAAATTGTTTACATATAATGTTAAATATGGAGCCGCACAAAACTTGACAGCTGTGCAGCTTTCTAATTTAACATTTTGTTTATAAAACCATACGGCTGAATAAAAAAAAATGGGTCATTGATTTAAATGTTCTATGTTTTAGCACAGCTAATGAGATAGGAGGAGGATGGCAGTAGATTACACATATGTAGTTTAACTTCCTTGGTTTTCCTCGTCTATCTGCACATAGCTAATAAAGCCTCATAAAGGACAAAGAAATACATTGTATAGTTTTAGGGCACCATCTGGTGGTTCAAGGTGCACTTTACAGAGCCCTGCCTCTGCAAGATTGCTCCCTATGCTTTATCTCCTCCCTTGTCTCTTAGCGTGCATCTACACAGCACCCTAAATTTGAAATAAGATATGCAATTTGCGCTATGCAAATTGCATATCTTATTTTGAATCTATTTCGAAATAGCTTATTTTGAAGTTTGGTGCATCTACACCATGCTAAATTTCGAAATAATGCACTATTTCAAGCCATCCCTTATCCCTCGTGAAACGAGGTTTACTGGGATGGCAAAACAGCATGCCTATTATTTTGAAAAATATTTCAAAATAATGGGAGGTTTGTGTAGATACAGGGTAGCTATTTCGGGTTACCTCCAGTATCCCAAAATAGATGGGCAGTGTAGACATACACTTATTGTTTGTCATAACTATTCCTTGCATCTTGTTTCAAGCTTGATTGTATGCTGTTTGGGGCAGGGAGTCTATATGTGTCTGTTTGTATAGGATCTCTTACAACAGGACCTGTTGGTGCTATAATAAAATAATAATGATAATAATAAAAATAGGGCTTTGTCCAATTATATTTCAGTGTCCCAAGTAATCAAGATTCTCTTTCTTCTCTTTGATGAAATTGGAAAGAGCAAGTTGAGTGCAACATGCTTTAAGTGTTTTTGACTATGTTGTGGAAAATGTACATTTTATACAGAATCTTCTAAATTATCTCATCAGACCAGATAAACAGGTTCATCTGGGCTGATATCCAACCCTTTGCAAGCATTCTATTTGATACTTCAAAAATCCATAGTGAATCTGGCTAATTTACAATGCAGAAAGGGAAATATTTCTTTCCTGATTTCTGTGAAGGAGATTTATGCCTAAACGATAAGGCTTGCTCAGTGCTTATATTGATGTTCTGGATTAGACAGAAATGAGATGCCAAACTCTGTTTGGGTATGTCTACACTACCACCCTAGTTCGAACTAGGGTGGTTAATGTAGGCATCCGAAGTTGCAAATGAAGCCCGGGATTTAAATATCCCGGGCTTCATTTGCATCTTGCCGGGCGCCGTCATTTTTAAATGCCCGTTAGTGCGGACTCCGTGCCCGCAGCTACACGCGGCATGGAGTAGGTAGTTCGGATTAGGGTCTCTATTCCGAATTACCGGTACACCTCGTTCCAGGAGGAGTAATGGTAGTTCAGAATAGAGAGCCTAATCCGAACTACCTACTCTGTGCCGCGTGTAGCTGCGGGCACGGAGTCCGCACTAACGGACATTTAAAAATGGCGGCGCCCGGCAAGATGCAAATGAAGCCCGGGATATTTAAATCTCGGGCTTCATTTGCAACTTCGGATGCCTACATTAACCACCCTAGTTCGAACTAGGGTGGTAGTGTAGACATACCCTTTCTTAGGTAGTGAGTGGCTAATTGGTGTGAGTGAACATAAATTCAGGAATTAAGTTAACCTAGCACAATAGGGCTCTGGTTTTGGTTGGGGCTTTTAGCATTGTTACTCCCACAAAATTCTCTCTCACTCATACACTTTATGGAGACCTACCTTTACCCAATTCCTAGGGTTCAGGAGTAACTTCCTGTGAGTTTGCAAGACCTTTTACAGAGCTTGATATAATAATATAGCATAGTCTGATTTGTAAAATTAATTCTGTATATATTCATGCAATATTTTGTGCAGAAATTTATCTTTTCATATGCAGGCAGTTTTCAATATTTTCATAAATCTCTTTTGAATTAACAAAATGATAAGCAACAAATGTACTAGACTTGCACAGAAGACTTAGAACAACATAGAACTTGCCCATATACTCTAACAATCTAGATGTTAGACATGATGCAATGAGCAGCATTACAACCAGTAGAAAGCAGATGGGGGTTATAGAGCAATATGGTCATATGATGGTTCATAACAGGTGTATACTAATTGAATAAATTCACTATATCATTTTAATATATTAAATGTTTATTTGGTAATACAAATGATACAATGCAACAGAAAGTACCAGTCTCCTGCAGCATGACAAAATAAGCTTTATAACATTAATTATACTCTGCATTAGAAATATTTTGAATATATATTGGACCGTTCATTTGAGTAAGAACTGCAAGATGGAAAATTTGATGTGGTGCTGTAGTCCTCTGTTGTTAAAATACTACGGGTCAGAACCTTAGGTGGTGGCTGCCAACTGGTTTATGCTAGTTCATATTCTGGACCTCTCTCTTTTCATCAAATCTCTATAAGCTTGTTAATTACTTTTTAACATTCCTATTGTGGTAGCTCCTAAATATTTCAACTAAATCAGGCCCTCTTGTGCTAGATGCTGTCCAAACACAGAGGGTACATCTACACTGCATGGCTATTACCTCGAGTCTACACAAGCCGCCAGTTATTTCGAAATGTTTTTTGAAATAACAGACGTGCTGTTTCGCCATCCTGGTAAACCTCATTGCGTGAGGGATAAGGGATGGCTCAAAATAGCAAATTATTTTGAAATTTGGCACAGTGTAGATGCACCAGATTTCAAAAGAAGCAATTTTGAAATAGTTTCAAAATAAGATACGCAATGTGCATAGCGCAAATTGTGTATCTTATTTTGAGTTTAGGGTGCTGTGTAGACGCACCCAGAGTGAACAACATTCCTTGCACCAGAAAGCTTACAATCTAAGGGTACATCTACATAGCAGGGCTAAGTCTAATTAAGCTACTCAACTTCAGCTATGCCAATTGCACAGCTTAAGTCAAAATAGCTTAACTCGGTTTTAGGAGCTGTCTACACATCAGGAGGTAGAAGGAAGAACACTCTTCCTTCGACTTCCCTTACTCCTCATGAAATTAGGCTTACCAAGAGTTGGAGTAAGAAGTCCTCCAGCTCGACATTATTTCAAAATAAAGGCTTGTAGTGTAGACACGCTCTTTGTTATTTTGGAATAACATCAGTTATTCTGAAATAACGCTGCTGTGTAGACGTACCCTGAATGACAAAGATATAACAAGCATGCCAATTTGACAAATGTGTGCAATTCTTAGCAAGATTCTTTGATACCTGGAAAAAAAGGAAGTAATAATTGTTCTCTATTTACATTCTAATATATAAGCATTTTATTATAAAATACAAGTGGTTCCAAAGTCCGTACCTCTTTTATGTGCTGGTATTCTTTTTTACTACACCTCTTTTTTGAGGGCTACTGCTGTTGTTAGTATAGTTCCACAGGTGTATCTGGTGCTTCACAGATGGATAAAAACTGACTTGTCCCTACTTCAAAGAGCTTACAATATAAGGGCTCCTACAAACACTGCTGAGCATAATGCTTGTTAATGTTGAGAACCTAGCCTCCTCACTGCAGTAAGCAATATGTCTGGTATGAAATGTTTGAAGGACTGGACCTGAAATTTGATTTTACACAGGAAAGAATGTTTAAACAACAGATCAGGGCTTGGTGAACAAGAATTACAGCAGCCAAAAGTGATATATTTATTATTCTTGTTCATCTTCAAAATTCCTCAGTGGATTTGTATTTTAATTAATTTAATACATTAAAATTGACCAAGAGTTCAATTACTGAAGATCAAAATTTTAAATTCCAGTAGCCATCTCATAGTATACAAATGTCACACCAAGTGGCAATCAATAAGTGTTTGTACTTCACTAGAAACACTGTTTTGAATGCCCCGAGTGAGCTTGATTCTCCTCTCAATAGAAGCTGCAGATGCTCAGCACTTCTAAAATAAATCTGCTATTCTTTAGGAGCCTAAATATGGATTTAGGCATCCACGTTACAAAATGTTGGCTTTAGTCTTTCATCAGCCTCGATTAACTGTGATCCAGTGTTTTATTCCAGCAAAGCAATAAAAAGTTTGATTATATTTTCATAATTAATTCCTAGAAATTATTTTAAAAATAAAGATAATTTTATCCTCATTAGGTTAAAAAGTCCATTTAAAAGAGGGCCCATTATACCTAGCATATCATAAGTAACACAAAATATATATAAATGCTGTACAGTACAATCTGTCCATTTGTAGTAGACTCTTATTCAGTGAATAAAGAAGATGAATTATGTAATATTCACAGAATTATTCTAGCTTATCTGTACTACAAGAAGAATATGGAGTTGAGTGGAGCCTATTAGCATCATATTATTATTTATTATTATGTGAAACAATTTTCCTTTACTTTAGGATTCTTTGCCTGAAGTATGCCCTGTTGTCTTTATTTAAATTACAAATACTGGACTGTAAGATTCTCACCCTGACTATTTCTATCAGGGAAATATTTAACATACTCAACAACAGTATTTTAAGATCCTAAATAGAAAACGTGACTGTTTCCTCTGCTTGATATTAAATCTTACATTCAAAATACAATCAGAATGATATTTACCCCTTGATAGGCTGGCATCTTTGTTTTAAATAATTGCAACTATGCTTTCTCTCATTTCCCCACATCCCCAGGGATTCACTCACAAATGTGTCCTGTCTGAGGATGGCTATAAAGGAGGGAAACTATAAAATACAAAAAGGAAGCTGAACAGTGATTTATCATTTCCTTTTTTTTTCTTCATCAGAACCTTCAACTTTTTAAAATTAATTTTTACAACAGTTTATTGATACTTCTACTGTGCCTGCCAGCCTGTTTTCATCATACCTGTGGAGTTAGCCTTTCCATAGGCAGCATTACAGGTCATATTTAGCAGCTGTGGCTTCCACTGGTTCCAGTTTTATCACAGTGATGGATAAGCAGATTGGAAGCAGTGATGGTAGCAAAATATTTTGTAGAATGATCATATTTTCATCATTTTATAGCACAGGGAGGTGAAAATCTATGCTGTGTTGACTGAATTGGCATATTTGGCAGGTAAAACAAACCAGTTATGAGATAGCATAGTCACAGAACAGTGATCACTGATCACTTGAGGGGATTAATGTTTAGCATCATCTTTTACATCCAATGTCAGAAAAATAAGGCTTGGTGCTTTAAAGATAAAGGTCATGGACTCTGTGTTACTTTAACCTTATGATTCTGTCCTCTCCAACTGCTCTTGCAACCTTCTGATTCCTGACTTGTGTGTAGGTAGCACTTCTGGTCTCCAGTGACAGGAAGGACTATTCTGGCACAGTTCATTTCCACTCTCTCATTTCTTGTGTTTCTAACACCCCTTTTCCTGCCTTCAAAATCACTGGGAAAGAACCAAGGATAGAAATAAAGACCAAAAGACTGTGGCAGGGATGAGACAATGAAGGCCCTGATGGGTTTTAAGTATATTATCCAATTTACCACCATCCAGAACCATTCACAGATTTTAAACAGTTTGACAACAGGTGACAATTTAAACAGTATGATAATAGTGAAAATAGTTTAGATTCAACAAAAGATGGACTTGTAGGGCTGGCTAGACATTTTTTCACCATCTTAGTCTCCAAGGCCCCAAATCATGCAAGTTACATCCCGTGGGTGACCCCCTATACCTCCACAGAGCTCCACCGAAATCAAGGGGCTCCATGGGGGACAGATGTCTGCCTGCATAGTTGAAAACGAGTGCTAAGAAGCCAGGCTTTACACTAAACTATGAAAAGATCCATGCACAACCAAATAACGTGATTTTGTGTTATTGGAAGAAAGAGATTTGAAAAATCTTCTGGTTGCTCACTGGCAAAAAAAAAAAATGGATCCAGATAAGTGATCTGTATGTGCTGGCAAACCTAGATTTAGGGAGGAGAGAAGAGTGAAATGTGTTAGTTTAAACAATACTGAAAATTACACAGAACTTGTCTGCTCATATGCGTCTATGAAAAGTAAGGGACCATGTTTGTAGGACAGTGTTTGCAATCTGATTTCCAACAAGGCATGTTGTAAACTGATTGGCACGGTTGATGATGGGGATGCGCATTTTTCTTCCTAAGATTGAAGAAACCTAAAAGAATGGTCAAATCTTTGTGAGATTCTCAGATGCTTCTGTCTCAGGATGTATGTCCTTTTTATATCTGTTAACTCAAGGCTTCTCCAAGTGATATCTGCAAGTATACAGCCACAGTGCAGTTTCTCAGCTGAGCGTAACTAGGGAGCCTAAAACAGGGCTGTTATCTCTAGGATCTGGGGGAACACAGATCATGCCACAATCCCACTCTTCCTCTTGCTCCTCACTAGACAAAATAATGGAAGGAGAAGGAGATACTGGAGGTTATCTTGATATTAGCATCATTCCCTTGTTCTAATGGGAAGCAAGAGGTCCACACTGGAAGGTGCAATTTGTGTCTCCTCGATGTGGGGAAACTGATTTCAAGATCCTGGATCTACAATGAGCTAAGTATTGGGAGTGCTGCAGAACAAGGAACTGGAAATAAGGCACAGGATTGGAGATAGAGCTGAAAGGGAGAGAAGTTAGAGGGGAAAAGTATCTCAAAGGACTTTTTAAATGATTAGGTCTCCAGATCCCCAGCTCATGTAAATTAGTGTAACTGTTCATTCAGTGGAGCCACACTAATATACAGCAGCTCAGGGACTTGGCGCTGTATCTCTGGGTCTAAATCACATTGATATACAACCATCTCTGGGCTGAGACATAGCAATTGTTTAACAGCTCAAAGTATTCAGTAGTTTAGTGCAGAGAATTAAGAATACTTTATCCAAATAAAATCAGAAAGGAGGTTTAGATGGAATTAGTAATACTGAAATCTGATGCGTATACTAGAACCAAAATCCATTTCTGATGAAAAGCTCCATGGGATCTTTTCAGCACAAATGGACAATACTTTAGTTGTACAGCTAATTCTACAGACAACACCATCAGCAGCACGTTAACATGATGTGAATTTAGAGTCAGGATTGCAACCTATTGAAACACCTAAACCACTTCCTAAGCACCTGATTTGTCTTTGAAGGTCTTTCCTTCCAATACTGAACAAGTCTAACCAGAATTAGCTCATAAAATCTGACAAAGTCACAGCTGAACTAGTGAGTCTGTAGACTTTGTTATCTGAATTAATGGTTCACTCTTCTCTGGAGTATTTTTCCCCTTACACTACAATCCTTTACGGTGTTTAACTTACCAGTTCATTCTTTCAATTATTTCCTGCAAGAAAAATGTCAAAATTAATGTGTACGTTTTTGTATTTCCTGATTCCAACTTTTTAATGTATATTTTAAGATCAACTGGGACCACTAGACAATCTAAACTCACTTCCCACATATCATGGATCATTAAATTTTCACCCAGATATTCCTATATGGAGCCCAGTGACTTTAGGTAGAACAAAACATTTCATTTTTCAGAAGACTAAACTGTTGCGTGCCATTGTCAGAGAGCAGGAGAGAGTGAGATGCCACTACTACCCTGAAGCTTCTGCAATGGCAGAAAATCAATTGGATGACATATGTTCAGATGATCCTAGCAGATAATCCACACCCCATTCTGGAAGAAGATGAAAACCCCCTGAGATTCCTGACAATCTGACATGGGAAATTCTTTCCAAAATGCAAAGCTAGTGACCAGTTTCAAGCTAAACATGTGAGCAAGAACCAGCACATAGGCATCTAAGAAATGAGGCTTCTCTGTCAGAGCATTGGTCAACCCTTTGAATTAAATCAATCTGAAACATAGCCACATTTAAAAATTTAAAAAAAAAACAGATTTTTTTCAGTACATCAGGCTAATTTACCACTTTTTTCTATGCTATTCTTGCTGACCCACTAGATCATAAGATCCCAAACTGGAGGGCGCGCTCTCCTGTGGGAGCATGAAGAAATTCCAGGGAGGGCATGAGGCGACCCAGTCCCTCCCCGCTTTGTCAATCCCACCCCAAGAAAGAGCCTGGTCCATCCGGTAAAAAAATTCACAAAATACCATGTGAAATGTCCAGCATTTTCTGTTTTTCCTGGCTCGGGTGTCTGCTGGAACATACGTAGCTTGGGCTGGCTGAGGTGGGGGGGAGGATGGAGCATCCCGGGTAGACTTAAAAATGTCCGCCTTAAAAGGGCAACTTTTTTTTTTTTTTTTGGTCAACAACTTTTCCCCTGGAGTACCAGCATCTTTTTTATACTGGTCCCAGGAATTAAAGGGTCTGCAACACCCCCCCCTTTTCTTTTCCTCAACAAGTTTTGCTGCTTTTTGGGGGGAGAGGGGCATGAGGGTTTCTCAAGAATCAAAAAGGGGGCATGATGCCAAAAACTTTGGGAACCACTGCACTAGACTATGGTGTAACACGTTTAATTTCTCTTTTTCCCTGCATTTACTGTAAAGCATTCAAAGCCAACATTCAAACATAAAGAGAATATTTTCATAACTACAAAATAGTAGCAAGAATAGCCAAAGCCTGTTTCAGTATCTACTGATCACTCACTGTAATCTTTTGAGCACTAGGATAATTGATAGAATCTTTTCTTCAACTAAAGCTCTTCAGTATAGTGAAATACCCTTGCACCACTTACCATAATTTGGTAGTTTTGAAAGATGTGAAGAGACGGATGAAAGATGACTTGTCAGCATCTTTGGAGCAAAAGAATAGTAAATTTTAAATTTATGATTTTGCATGAGATTAAAGGGAAAATTCTGCCATCAGATGCACACATGCAGCTTTTATTGAACCAAGGAGAATTTTGCAAATGCATCTAAGGACAGATTTTGGCCCTTGAATCTAACCCAATACAATATTGTATGTCAAGTGTAAAAAAAGTCTCTACTTACAAACTAAAATTATCAGAAGCAAAAAGACCAGCAAAGTAGCAAAACGTCCTCCCAGAAACCACCTGAAATCATAACGAATACCTTAATTTTTAAATTGTACGACAGACAGATATTGGGCCAACACACTAAAATATGCACAACACACATCTCCAAGATCAGCCTTCAGTCAGCTACCATCTTGGTCCTTCAGTTAAGGAGCTCAATATTCCCAGACTGGTGATGGGGTATAGACCTGTGCCATGGAATGTGATGGAATGTTAACTCTTTCCTGGCCTGTGTGGGGTAAATATGGGCCTGAGAGAGGTCATGGTAGGAAGATACACTGACGATCAGCAGCAAGGAGTTGGACTGAGCAGATGCTAGTTCAAGGATCCTGGGCTGGAGCTTAATGTAGTGGGAGGCCCCACGTACCCCTACCAACACACTTGTGTGGTAGCATGAGGTCAGCGAAGGGAATAAAGAAAGCTCTGAGGAAAATGATGGAGGACAATGAGGCCAAGAATCGAGGCTGAAGACCTGATACAATGTCTTGAACATTGGTTTGTTGGGCTTTTTGGTACCCCAAAAGGGGTTCCTTCACAAACTGTCAAATCCCCTCTGCAAATATATGTTTTGCGGAACCCCAAAATAGCATCCAGATGCTAATGCAAGTTGTAATGAATATATAAATCCCCCGGGAAATAAAGTCACAGCAGATAGGGAAATATATGGATTTTGTGAATCAGATAAGCCATTATTATAATTTCACATTTGGCACCTATCTACAACCAGGTATCTCAAAAATTCCATTATGATGCTAATCACGTCTGCATCCACAAGTACTTTCTTTTTCATTTCACGTGACAGGATTTTTATACAGATAAAACCTCTCTAATCTGGCACCCTCAGGACCCAAATGGTGCTGAACCAGAGAATTTGCTGAACCATGGGAGATCAAGATTGTCTAGTAGCATTATCAACACTTCCACTGTTTACTGGACTCTGAGAAGACATTTAGGGGTAATTTAGAGCTAAGAACAGCTCAGAACACTGAGAGCCAGGACTGGTAGCTATAAACACATTTTGGGGACCATGGTAGACTTGGCCACACCTATAATAAATGGATATCTGGCTAACTAAAATCATGCCACAGATGTCACCGTACCAGAGAGTGCCAGACTAGAAAGCTTCAACCTGTATATTGAATCTGGGCTAGTATATATTAAGAAAAAACAAATGTCAAGGAATATATAATACTATGTTTTGAAATTTTCTTTTCCAGTGTAGCAAATGCCTGCTTGGTGTGGCACTCTGTTCCCACTACTGAAGGTTCCGTCAGCTAGAGATTGGTAAGACCTTAGCTAAGGCCAGGTCCACACTACAGGGGAAGGTCAGCATAAGGTATGCAGTTCCAGCTGTAAAAAAAATGTAGCTGGAGTCTATGTACCTTAAGCCAAGCTTCAGCACTGTCCTCAGTGGGAAGTCGGTGGGACAAATGCACCCATGGACTTCCCTTACTCCTCACGGTTACAGGCACCGATGAGGGTGCCATCAGCATTCGATTAAGCTTTACTAGACCCGCTGCATCAAATGCCAGAAGATTGATCCGCTACAGTGTCAATCTTCCTGAAAGTGGAGACATGGCCTAAGAGATGTGTATCCTTTAGTTCATGCAGTAGAGGCTCATGAATTAAGCTCCAGAGATCCAAGGTTTGATGCTGGCTGCTGATAATTAGGATCTCTTGGTATTACAAGTGACATCACTTTCAATGGATTTCTTCTGTTCCCATTTCTTACACTAAAATTAACCTTTTCCCAGTGACTCATCTGAGTTCCAGCATTACTGAGCTCCTTGTGGTCCAAAGCCAACCAAAGTTAGGCCCTTACGGTGTGTGTAGACTACATGGCTCTGTATCCCTGCTTCATTAAAATAAACATGGCCACCATGCTGTGCCGATGATCAGCTGATCCGGCACAGCGCAGCACTCTAGACGCGGTGTGGTCGACAAAGGAAGCCTTTGTCAACCGCTCTGGTATGCCTTGTGAAACGACCTTCCTTTGTCGACCGTGCCGCGTCTAGACTGCCACACTGTGCCAGATCAGCTGATCATTGGCACAGCACAGTGGCCATGTTTATTTTAATGAAGCAGGGATAATTTACACACACCCATGTTTCACGAGGCATACCGGAGTTGTCAACAAAGGTGTCCCTTGTTGACCGCGCCGCATCTAGACTGCTTTGCTGTGCTGGATCAGCTGATCATCAGCACAGCGCAGCGGCCATTTTTATTTTAATGAAACGGGGATTATTTAAATCCCCGCTTCTTTGACTATGCCGAGTAAACTATTTTACATGGCTCTGTCGACGGAGCCATGTAGTCTAGACACACCCTTAGAGCTGTTGCTTTAAAAAAAATGCAAAACAGGTTCACAGTCCCAAAAGTGTGTGTATGGGAGGTGGAGAGGAGAGGTTTGGGGGGTGACACTCCATGTGGTCTTAAAAACAGCTAAACTCCTTTTTTTTCCCTCAGTGTTTCAAATAACAAAAATGTGCTACTACATTATAAATACATATGCAAAAATTCAGCCTGAAAGATAATGGTCTGACAAAACTGCAAACATCTGGAAATGACCCATTAGAATGAAATATCTTAGACAACCTTAACTAGAAGCAGTACTCTATATTCCACCTATAATAATAAACATGCAAAACATAAGCTAAACCATACAGACTATAGAAAGTAAATTAGCACCAAAGAATGGAAAAGAAAGCAAGAGTGGATTTCCCAAAGCTCCAGTTCTCTTTTGTTTAGCCTACAGAAACTTTGCTAATTAGGATGTTTGGTTATGCATCAAGTTAAAAAAAATCATATTCCGTAATATGTATAGCAAATATCTGTCAAAGATAATCTTTGTATTTTCATGTCATTGTTCTCTAAATTTTAAAATTAGATACATAAAATTACACTTATTATTAGACTTAATTAACCTCAAATCAAAGGGGAAAGTAGCTTAACCAGACAATTTAGTTCAATTTTAGAGGATATCTACTATATATTTGAGAGAGTTTGTGTGTCTGTCTGTCCATCAGTGAGTCAATTTGAAAGACCACCGATTTTAGCATGACTTAAAGCAAGGTAAGGGTTGGTAGTATCAGGGCAACGGTATTGGCCTGGAATATGATGGTTTCTCATTAAATGGAAATGGAGGGGTTTGCAGGGACATTATATTGTACAATGACCACAGGAGGACAGCCAGAGATGGGGACCAGGACAGCTGTATTGGGGCAGCAGGGAGCAGGGATGGACAGCTATGTACTATATATTTCAAAGAATTGATCTGTCTGTGTGTATGTCTGTTTCCCCTCTAGGAAACATGCATACACCCCTCCCCTGGCTGTGCCCACTGGAGCTGCAACTGCCATGGAGAGGTGTTTCTCACCTGTCCTCAAGCTTCTGTGGTGACAGAGGGCTGCTGTTGACCTCTCTCCCTGAGGCAATCTGAATACTCATCTCTAGTCCCACCCCAGAACAATGATTTAAATGAAGAAAAACAAAACTTATTTAAGTTAAGGACCTGAAGAACCCTGGGTAAATCCTCTTGTTTGCTTATCTCTCTCTATATAAAAATTTTTTCTTGTGGGACAACAGAGTGGCATCATTATGTCCTCGGTTGTGCAGCCTTCCTCCTCCCCCATCTCTGGTGCTCTGGGGAGGCAGGACCTGCGTGGCCTCCTCCCTTCCCCCTCCCCTGTGCTCTGGGAAGGCAGGAGCTGTGCGGCCTCCCCCCTCCCCGGGGGTCCAGGGGGGGGGGAGCCACACAGCCTCTTCCCTCCTCCCTGCCACGTGTGCCCCCCCATCTCTGCCAGTGAGTGGGATAGTGATGGGGATGCAGGATCTGGACAGGAGGTAGGGTGCAAGGTCTGGGTGCAGGAAGGGGTGAAGGTGCAGAGTCTGGCCAGGAGAGAGGGTTCAGGAGCAGGCTGAGGGTAGAGTTTGTGGCCAGGAGTGAGGGTGCAGGAGAGGGCTGGGGGTAGCATGTGGTCCGGGGGGAGGGTGCAGGAGCAACGGTAGGGTGTAGGAACAGGCTGGTGGTAGGGTGTGAGGCTAAGGGGGAGAGTGCAGGAACAGGTTGGGGGTAGGGCATAGCAATGGGGGTGGGAGTTGGTGCGTGTAGTGGCCAGGTGGGAATTGGGGTATGTAGCAGCCAGAGAGAGGGGGGTTGGCGAGCTTCCGTACCCTCCCTAACTCCAGCACCTCCCCCCTGGCCAAACATCCTATCCACCCCAACCTGCTACTGCATCCTCCTGGCCACACACCCTATTCCCAGCCTGCTCCTTCACTCACCCTCCTGGCCAAACTCTGCATCCTCCCTTGCTCCTGCACCATCCCACTGGCCAGAAACCCTACTCCCAGCCTGCTCCTGCCACCTACCTCCCAAGCAGACCTCACCTGCTCAGCCCCTCCGGCATTCCACCCCCCGCCTAGATCCTGCACCCCTTCCCTATCCCACACACTGGCAACTCTATCCCACACACTGAACTCCTCATTTTTGACCCTACCCCAGAGCTTGGGGGAGGGGGCATAAAATCAAATGGCACCCCAGTGGCCTGAGGCCTTGAACCTCGGTCTTCCCTCCCCCCACCAAGGGGCTGGAGCACCAGAGGAATGAGGTGTTTCAGTTGGAGGCCACATCAGGGAAGGTTGGGGGTTTTGGAAGGGGCTTTTTTTTCCTTCTCACTTGTGTGGGTCCTAACTGATTTTTCTGTGCATCGGTGGCCCCTGACCCAAAAAAGGTTCCCCACCCGTGCCATAGATAAAGACAATGTTGAAACCTTTTTTGTTGGACATAATATTTTACTTTATTTAAAATAAAAACTGGCCAGCAAGGCCCTCAACTGGGGCCCAGCCCTCATTTGGCCACAGTGTCCTGTCCCTGGAGCAAATCCTGGGGCAGGCCCTGCGGTCCAACCCCCATCTGCCCGCAGGAAGGGCTGGTGGCGGCCCCCTTCCTGCTGCCGCACTGGTAGGAGGGGAGGCCACAATCTGGCTGTGGCAGACAGTGAGGGGTTGGCGAGTGTAGCGAGCAGGGGGCACAGCCCTTTTGTAAAGTTTATTTGAAAGACATGTTACAACTTAATACAATTAAGCTGAAAAAAATTGAAAATGATAGTATTTTCCAACTGCGTTTCCTATTTAATTAACTGCATAACTCATATACCAGACATGCTAAATTATTGTGTACAGTTTGAAATATATATTTATACACCTAATTTATGTAAGCTAATAGGTGATATGTATATACAGATCCTGCATTTGCACACAGTCAGTTAGGTGTCAGTTCTGCATCCAAACAATTTGCACATATCCCCCTTTGCTTGCAAATGCACCTTCACAATACTGAATGCCAAATTTTGAAAATGTGGCCCCAAATGTCATATATTACTCACCGGTTGAAATATATATATATATATATATATTAAGCATAATTAAAATGATGATGAAATTAAAATTACCTTGCACACACTGAAATGATTAAACACATGGACAGCATAATCATTTGATAAATGACATTTCTCACTGCATTGGATCCTAATAAAAAAGGAAACAAATCAGGAATAATAATTTTTTCTGGATATACTTGAAAACAAGAAGAAGCTCCTTCCTTACTGCTCCCCTGAAACGCTGAAATTCCATGAAGGAAGGAGTATTTGTGATAAAAAGGAAGCTTTACTATGGAACATCTTCACATAAGTCAGTGGGATTCTTCAATGGCCAGTTAAATCTAACCCTCAATAGGCAAATCCAATTATTCTGTACTCCACATCCACATTCTCTTTTTTTGAAAGCTGTAAAGCCTGCTGAATTGAGTTCTAATATAACCTCTCCCAAGTGCTATATAAAATACTAGAAGACTTACCTGGCATTGCTTGGGTCCTTCAGGGCAGGGAATGGCAGTGTGTGTGGGATGCAGGAGTCAGGACAGAATTTGGAGTTGAGGGGGGCTCAGGGCAGGGAGCTGGGTAAGTGGGGGAGGGAGGTGCAGGAGTCAGGGTTGGAGAGTGAGGAGGGGCTCAGGGTAGGGGTGGAGGGCACAGAAGTCAGAGCAGAGGGTGGAGGCTCAGGATACAGGGTGGGGGTGCAGGAGTTAGGAAGGGTGGGGGTGTATGGGGTTGGGAGGGAGTGTCTCCTCCCCATGGATAGTGGGGGACAGAGGAGGCCCACCTGTTGCTCCTCAGGGCTACGGTGCTTGCTGTCTCCCTGTGGTCATTGGTGAGTATAACTAACCCTGCTATCACACACCTGCTTTCCATTAGATGAGGAACAGTCACATTACATGCACATCCCATTCTCCTTGCACAACCAACCCCTGAACTTGCTTTAAGTTATGATAAGAGGAAGCTGCTTACCAAATGAGATGGTTCCAGCTTTTACCATTTAGGAAGAGTTCTTGAACAGACAGACAGACACACACACGTACTCTTTCATATATATATGCTGGAGACCAGGGAGAGGGAGGGCCCCGTTCGTAACTGTGGATCCGACATAAGTCGGATCCGCGTAACTCGGGGACTGCCTGTATATCATATATATATGCTGGAGACCAGGGAGAGGGAGGGCCCCGTTCGTAACTGTGGATCCGACATAAGTCGGATCCGCGTAACTCGGGGACTGCCTGTATA